TTGAGAGAATAGCGCAGGGATCTCTTACAATCCTGTAAACATTTTACCTTCTATAGTTGGAGGAAAGAGCCTGGCTTGGGGTTCTCTACCTGATTGTGTATATTGTATGTAGGTATGACTGTATGTTTTTAATTTTTAATCTATAGTTTATTTTATATTTTATTGTACATAGTTTTTTTATTATTATTTCACTTTTCTTAATTTTATATTTTCTGTGTATATGGTGTGAATGTGTTCACATAATAATTATTGTCCACGAGACAGATTTATTATATGTCTAAATAAATAAATTTAAAAAACAAAAATCGTTTATAAAAGATCGTTCGCTGACGCTAGTGAGCGAAGAGCCGAAAATATTTTGCAAAGATTTTCGATACGGACTGATTCACTATTTCTTCAATTTTCGATTTCTTCAATTCTAAAAATACATAACGCTCAGAACATTTCACATCATTTTTTGAACCCTGGGTTAGATAAATAAAGCTAATTTCTAATTACAGGTTTGATTTAGCGTTACTTTTGATAAAAATTAACCGACTAGAATCGAATTCAAATAACATTGACATGAAAAAAAGCTAGTTACTTTTACAACTTAAAGCTAGTTACAAGTTTTTTTTACCCCAATATAATAGCTTACGGTTAGAAATCGCGGTAGTTTCATTTTTGAATTTCCAGAATCTTTAAATGGGGTGATTGCCTTATTCCAAAAACTCCGTGATGTTCCTTCCTCAAGTAAAATATTTAAAACAATTGAAGGGTCTTGTTCACTTCAGGCACGCCAGTTATTTTCAAACAGAAATAGCACATGTTATAGGAAATGAATTACAAATATAATGTCACATTTTGTTTTATATTTGAAGTAGGTTATCCACTGGTTTTTCTATTTGGAATGGTGTGAATTTGGTTGGAGGAGGATATATGAGAATGAGGACTCGTTCCAAAGAATACTATAAAAGCGATTTGGCCACCCAACTAAAAAAAGAGCGTTTAAAACATCTTTAATAATTTTTTTTTACAAGTTTCAATATAATCTGTTAAAAGAAGTTTATATAATGGAAAAATAATAATATTGATTGAAATATAACTGATACTTATCTATAATAGATAATTTTCCTAATAAATGGCGTATCTAAAGTAAAATAGACCTCAATTATATTTCCTTTATTACATACAAAACTTATAATATATTACAGAAGATAAAACTATATTTCAAAAAAAAAAACTAGTAAGTATTTACAATATGTTTTGAAAAATAATTATATCAATTATGAGAAGTTTTCTGATAAATAAATTAACGTATATCTTCATTTATTATAAGTATTGGAGAATTCCGAATCCATTTCAGCTTTTAGGGATCTAATGTGTAAGTATTCTTATATAATTTAAGAAGAGAGCGTATTGTAGATGGTTATGTATTTGACTCAGATCACTCATAGAAACAATTATATAAAAATGAAGTAAACATTTTTTCCTATTTTTTGTGGAGTTTCAGCCCTAATTCCCTTCCCATATCTGGCTTCGGCTCCACCGAATCTCGATAAAACTTCTTTCTATAGAATGTTCTAATTTAGACTACAATTTCATTTTAATTAATCATATAAGTTTAGTTACAATTCAAATGATCAATGTTACCCATAACTTTTGTTAGCTAAAACTTAAAATTTTCTACCTTATCTGTCCAGTGCTTCATCGTTTCAAGTAAATATTTTTTTAAATTCTAATCAATAAATGGTGAAGTGGCCTCGGGACTTCCTACTTTAGAACTTTTAATAGAGTCCTACAAATGAATAATTCCTCTGCAGGTCTAACTATGTTATTTTTTTTCTGTTCTTCCCTACCTCGCCTTTCAGGCTATACCGGATTTTTCCGGTCCGGGGGGTAAGGGTGGGGAATTTAAAATCCCCTCCGGCACCGAGACGCGTTCTCGTACTTTTTTTATAATTTTCTCAAATCTGTTATCCAGTTGCCAGGCAACTCGCGGTGCTGTGCATATGCTTTAGCCCATTCGGCCACCCCGCCCCTAGGTCTAATCATGTTATCATACTTATCTGTTTACATTCACTGGTTGTATTTTTATTTTAGCACAGTTGCATATGTGGTTAATCTCAACCGCTCTAGATCAATCTCAACTGGCTTTAGTACCAGTGACGCGGTTGAGAGGGTAGCGCACGGATCTCCTGGAGTTCTGCTTTTACTTTCGTAGTTGTAAGGAAAAGCTAAACTCTTCCCTTGCCTGATTGTAAATAGTATATATAGGTATGTTTTGTGTTTTTTATAATTTATTTATCTTTAAGTTATTTTATTTTACTTATTGTGTATACTTTTTTGATTATTATTTAGTTGTTGTTTTTGCTTCTGATTATTTCAATTTTGTGGTACATATAGTATGAATCTAACCTTAAGTCTCTGTAACCATTACCCAAGTTTTAGAACGTTATATTATTCAATAACAAAAAAGAAAAAAAAGAATACAATGGTAAATTCCGTGAAAAAAAAATAAATGGTAATTAATTGCTGCTTGTATAATCAATTAACGTTTTCTTGTATTCATACAAGTAAAGGTTTAGTTTTATTTTTTCTATTAATTTCTCGATTTTCAAGATAAACATAAAATCTCAAAAGAGTATAGAAGTTTTGTAATAATAATAATAATAATAATAGAAGAATAATAGAAAGAAAAGGACATAAAAGTTATCGTTGTCACCTTAGATCGAAATTCTGTTAAATGGAAAACAGAACTTACCAGAGTCATCCGTAGATCGCAAAATATGGAGATAATAGGATGACCTGAAACACACTAACCCCTGGTGGTGGTCGTGTCACCTAAGTAATTCCTTTTTTAATACATTACTCAATTGATCCTTGATTGTAACAACTGGGATACAACGAGCTCTTCGTTAAAGCGACCCAAAATTAAATCCCCTAAAACGAAAAAGGATTGATTTTCTCATAGCACCTTCGTTTAAATCCTTCCTACTGTTCTTTACGGATGCAAAACGTAGCCGCTTACATTAAAGAATGATCAACGTCTTAAGGTTTTTTAAAAAAAAAAGCATTGCGCCGTCCAATAAAATATTGGACCGAAAAACGACCGAGAATTTAGACAGTTACACAACACTGAATTGCGTGATCTGTATAATTGAAATGATTAAGTTGAGGCGAATAAAACGGGCATCTAAAATCGCTGGGCTTAGTAACGAAAGAAAAAATCATAATAGAAACAACAGGTTCAGATAACTAAAATATGCGATGAATAATTGATGGAAATCTATTATCTAAATAACAAAAATTCCCTCCGTCAATCGTTATTCCATACTTTTTTTGTATTTGGATTATTCGACATACCCAAATCTAATGTTGATTTAAAAAAAAAAAAAAAATCAACAACCCCGCTCAAAATCATTGGTAACAAGATATTTTAGTAAAAATGTTCATAACAGTCGTTTTTTTTTTTTGTTTTTTTGTTTTTTGACTTTTTTCTCCACCACGTCAAGACATAATTTTGAATAATAGCTCATTACAAAGAAAATGAAATATTGATCTATAATCCGTAACTGTACACCGGAACTTTGCTCATAGTACATAGATTCGATTTTTAGTTTTCGAGATATTTTAATCTAAATGTAAAAATTAATCTACTGGAGCTGACTTTGCGCTGTTTAATACCCACAAGAAAGCAGATCGCGAAAACTCACTGCAAAGCCGTTATTATTGACCGCGGTTCTAATTGCGCTTTCATATAATAAACAAAACAATTATCTACACTATCTATTAACTTAGTTATTTTTATTTTTTTACAGATACTATGCACCTATTAAATAACAGGTAATAGACTTTTCTATCTCTGTTTATCTTCAGCTATTTCTTTTCAGTTAAGTGAATGCAGCTCTATTGCATCTTTTTCAATTTTGAGTCGATCTGGGTTTTATTGTACATGACAATTTTTTTTTATTGATTTATGTAATATTTTTTTTTTTTTTAGAGATATATCATTATCATACGATAGTATCATCCTAAATCAATTTTGTAGTAGTACTCATAAGCGAAAGTAAGTAAATACATTTCAGACAGTTAATCAATGTTTTGTTACATTGTAATTTCTATGTTTTATCCATTTACGAATCAAAGATTAAATTGTACAACTTTCAAATAATTTTTTTTTTTTTAAAGAAATATATCTAGTTTTGGGACTTCAATGAAAAAAAAATAAAGGTTAAGACCATCAGAAAACTGCATTTAATTAATGCTCATTCTAGTAGCGGTAGGAAAGTAAAAATATGATATCGTCGGCATAATGTTAAAGTAACGAATGTGGAACGTTGGCCAAGCTAACGTCCGTTACTTTAACATTGTGCCGATGAAATATTCCCTGAAAAATGGGAAATTACCTACTAACTATTTTTTTGAGATTTTATTTACAAAAAAATATTTTATATTACTTACCTTGTCTGTTCTTTCCTTCTTCAAAGATAGCACAACTGATACAGTTCGTAAATTAAAACTAATGATTAAAACATCTCTCCTCCCCTCAAAAAAAGAACTGGTTTTGCTTATAAACCATTTATAGTTAATTACATTTTGTATCAACAGGTTTAGTATTTATTCATTTCATAAATGTTCTAATGCTTTGCATCAGTATTTGAAAACCTTCATTTGGCTAGTTAAACACTTTTATCCTTTTTTAAATTAAACTATGAGCATATGTTAACTTATTGAAAAAAAAAAAGGATATAAAAGGTAATAATTTAAGAGTTATTTTCAAATGAAAAAAAAATGAAGAGTCAAATTTATTTCTAACACAACTTACATCAACAGCTCTTTTAAAATTCTTTTTATTAAGTAAAAATCAAATATTTATTGCTAATAGAATGAATAACATTTGTTACTCATAATGCCCAACTTTATCCCAACGTAGAAATATGAATACTTATTCTTATGTGTTTAACACATATATTAAAAAATAGTGGGAATAAGGGATCGTAATATAAAAAAAAAAGAAATAAACAGATAAAACATAAATATATCTTACAATAATTTTATCCATAAATACACAATTCTACAATCTTAATTTTTATATAATTTGGTACATTACATGTACAATAATAATTATTCGGATTCGTAATAAATAAATACTGGTGGAACAGTAGTTGTATAGTTTAGAAAGATAAACAAACAAAAAAAAAATTCTAATTTTAAACTATAAACAACAATATGTTCACACTTCTATATCTATATGTATACAGAGTATTTTACAATAAACATAACATTTAATTACAAAGGGGAAAGGGGAAATTGCACAAATAGAGACGGTCGATATCGCCAGGAACCAGAACATTAATAGTAAATGACATTCATACACCAAACCATTACATCAGACGATAGTTTACAAATATTTTTACAGTGCACTGCATTCTAAGTAACATTCTAATAGGAACAATCACAGTGCTACAATTTCTAGGGCAAACGGCCCAAAAAATCTAAAATCCTTTTTGAGAAAGAGGAAGCTAAAAAAAAAAAAAGAAATAAAAAAAATGAACATATTGTTTCAATAATATAATATATATTTCTTCTTCTTTAATAGTATATTTTACCCTGTAATATTGTTTTCTATAATAGTAATGGAAGGAGGGGCAATTGGGTTAAATCTTTTAAAGGCTTTTTATATATATATTTTTTTTAGACTTTTCTTAAAAACATCGCGATTGGGTTGAATATACTAATTTTTATACCTTTTACAAAAATAATAGATGAAATTATATCATGATCTAAGTAGAGGAACATACTTGATATTAACAATTGTCATACCCTAAAGTTAAAAATCTTATTGCAAAGATATAATTGTCAATAGGAGATTTTTTTATCAAAGATTCAACTTGTATTGTTCATGAAAACAATGTCACCTTTTTTTTTTTTTTTCTGATTCATTTTGTTTGAAACGTCTTTTAATTTTCTTATGCCAAATGTCCTAACTCTGGTTGAAATAGCTTCGAGTATATCTTTCCCGTCTTCTCACTCTTAAGTTTTATTTATTTATTTTTTTTTTATACGATAATATTAAATAACGCATTTAGATTTATATACATTGATACATATATGACATTTACACACATTTATACATATACATAAATTCAATTATACATAAAAATACAAAATATTATATAACAAAAAAAAATCAAACGATTAAAATGGTAATTAAAATGAATTTTTTTTTCATTTGTGGAATTTTATAATATATCACAAGTTGTTTAAGTACAATAACATTTAAATATCCATTCATGGATAAAGTCTTTCTCAGATGTATCTATAAGAAGTGATATGCCGTAGGAATGTAGAACAATAAAATGTAATTCAATTGGTAAAAAAACATTAGCATATAATGAGAATAAGGAAGGAACACTCATGCCCTCTAAACAAAAAATATATACATATATATATTTATAATTCGCAGATATAATTAATTATAAGACACGAGATTCGTCTCTCAAACCCAATATATGTTGTTCACGGATGGTATGGTAATCCAATTCTTTGCATAGAACATTGTAAAAAACAATGACGTGTTTGTACTAACAGCTTTTAAAATATACAATAAACAATGCACATAAATTAACTGAATTAACAAATACATCATGAAATAGAAAAGATTATCAAACTTCCTAATAACTCACTCAACAGATTGATATCAAGATTTTCAAAAAATCTAAGTACGGAGGACACTGAAACTTAAGTACTGTATGTACATCGCTATCGGTCATCATAAAATACGTTGCTTTGGCGTCAATTACTTTTAAAGTTACAACAAAATACCAGGAACCGTAAACATGTTCCTAAAAGTAACCAGGAAAGACAAACAGTAGAGTAGCCTTTGTGGGGCAGCACACCTCCCTAATATATGCTCTGGGCTGGGAGGATGGGGTACCCGGCCCATGGGCAAAGTCATGTCGAAGCGGCGTCCTTAGGGGTAGAAGCTGCCGAGTCTTCATCTCCGCTCATGATGGAGGGAAGCATGTGTTCTACTTTTATGTTCTGGTTCACGACGCACTTTCGCATGTGCTTTTCAAGGGTGGACGGAACTGAGAATGGCATCTCGCAGAACCTGCACCTATACACATCCTTCCCCATCCGACCGTGGGTCTTCATATGCCTTGTCAATTTTGAGCTTTGGGCACAGGCATAAGAACAGAGTTCACATTTGTATGGCTTTTCTCCTGTGTGAGATCTCCTGTGTACAGTGAGGTTGCTGCAGTTCTTGAATACCTTGCCGCAGAACTCACAAGTGTCATTTCTCCTGCTGTCCTTCTTCATGTTTTGTGTTGGAATACCGAGATTCAGGGCTGCCGCGGCCGCTGCAGCTGCCGCCAAAGAAGTACCTGCTCCTGCTGGGACTTTAACCTTATCTTTGTCAGAGTCAGATCCATTCGTTCCAAAAATCTGGTCCCGGTGGTGAGATAGACCAGGAAACCAGAGACCAGCGTACATATCACGTTCTGCGTGCCGACCCATCTCTCTTCCTTCCAATTTTACTCGCTTGCTTGCATCGAAAGGATTCTCGAAGGACGGCCCAAAGATTCCATGAGGGCCACCGACCAGGTCTAGCTGCGGTTGGCCCGTGATAATGTTTTTTGCGAACTCTTCTCGAAATCTCAGAGCTGCAGATTTTTCAAGGAGACCATTCTCTAATCTCCCAGTAGGTGATGGCTTACTACCAACGTTATTGTTATCTGAAATTAAATGTGATCTTTGTAATAAGTCATCCTTTCTAGAAATCAAATGATGACCACCGACAGATTCTTGCAGTGCTGCTTTGTATGCTTCACTGTATTGCTGTATATTGCTTAACCCAAATTTATCCATGAGTTCCCCAACTAAAGATCCGGAGGAATTGACTTTATCAGGAAGTGGAGAACCTGAGCCCCCTTTGTTGTTATCTGTAGTAGGAGGAGTAGAAGAAGTCGATTTTGTAGTCAAATCCTCGGGAGCATCCCCTCCAAGATCATCATCTTCATCACCTTCTTCTTCCTCCAATTCCATTTCTTCCTCTTCCTCTTCATCTTCTTCTTCATCGTCCTCCTCATCAATTTCTTCATCATCGTCATCATCTTCATCATCGAGTGTTTCAACAGAACCAGCATTCGACATCTGGTCTGGCGTTGTATTTACACTACCACTGCCATTCGCATTTCCTCCCTCGGAGTTTTTGTTTCTACTCCTTTTATGAACCTTCATGTGACGTTTCAACTTGGAACTTTGAGAGCATGCGTGGTTGCACACTGAACATTTGTATGGTTTCTCGCCTGTATGCGATCTCCTGTGGACGAGCAGGTTACTTTGGAACCTGAATTTTTTCCCACAATAGTCACAAGAATGTATACGATTAGGATCTGAAACGTCCATATTTTCCGAAGTCTGATTTCCAGAAAAATCCTGCTTATTCGGAGGTGTTGAAGCCGATCGGGGAGTTGAAGTGAGATCGACAGTTTCTTGGGGTGGGCTGTCACTGACTTGAGAAGGTTTCAACTCCAAATTCGGAGAAGTCGTTTGAGGCCGTGGAGTAGGCGACCTCGTAGAACTCGTCGTAATATTGTTGTTATTGGTGCTGATATTATTGTTGTTATTGAACATCAAAGAGGGTGCAATACTAACTGATGTCGGAAGATTACTGTTAGGACTAGTGAAAGGTGGAGTCAACTTTCTAGGAGAAGGTGAAGAATTACCGTTGGCAGCGCCAGGACTTGTCGTCCCCGCCAATTGCCTTAATCTCTGGGAATAAAAATCTATTTGCGGCTCCAAAGACAAAGGGAGCGATGGTGGTGGAGGAAGAGACCTGGAGGTAGGAGGAGGGCGTTCGGTAGGTGGGGGTCCAAAGTGTGGAGGAGGGACCGCCGCAGCCACGGCCGCTGCCGCTAGGCCGAGAGGGTGGTGTCGAAATTGTTCTGACACAAGTTGCTCCATTCTGAAGTGGTGTTCATTGTGACTAGAGGGTCTGGCAAACATGGAGCCACCACTAGTGCTCAGGGAACTTGGTGTGAACTGGTGGTGCCTCGTTGGTTCGAGTGGCATCCTCAGAAGACCACCAACGGTGAAAGGGTTGTGCAGAGGAAGGTGAGGATCTATGAGTGGAGAGGGTAATCTCGAAGATGTCACTGGTGCAGCTGGTGGAGGTAATGCCAATGGCGTTGTCGGTGGAGCTCCGGAACATCCGGGTGAGCTCGAACATGTTGAAGAGGTGGAGTGGTTTTTTCCAACAGAGGTTCCGGGCGAAGATCCCAGTGATGAAGTTGATCCCGTAGAGGAACCTTCGACATAGATCTTGATGCCATGACTGTTCTGAACGTGTTGAACCAGTCTCCAAGCCGAGTGTAGTCGAGCCTTACACGTCGAGCAGACGTAATTATTCGGTTCTGTAACAAAAAAAAAAAAAAAAAAAATTAGTAATTTTAACGAAAGACCAGCATGTTACATTAGGGCGAGGGGAGATGTCATTGTCAAAGTTTGCTAATTACTTCTGCTGGTCGTTAGGTGGCGATAGGGGTTCCCTAATTACACAGGCGTGGACAAGTTGGGCATAAAGTTTATAAAAGTTTTACAACCAGTGGACGTGAGTGATACGCTCGGACTGCATTTAAACTGATGAATAATAAATGTGAAGAGCAAATTTGATAATTTAGTCAGAATGGACAGAATGCACCAACTCTCCATGGATAATTGATGCAAACAGGTCCGGTCATGATGGGGGGGGGGAGAATTTTTACCGATCCAATATCAGGAACACCGGTGGCGCATTTACATTTTTCATTATTCCGAATATAGGAGTTGAGGGGGCTGCGCATCGAGGGAGCATCTCTAACACGTGACCTTATACCCAGACCACCTGCGCACCCCGATATTCCTTTATATCTATCGGTTCCTCGGGTCCGCTGCCGACCATCGATACCATTATTGTCAATAAACCAAAAAAAAAATAGATGAGAATTAGACGAAATATGGAATGTAATCACCTAAGATTACTTTGATTAATAAAAATTCTATTTTTTAGTATATTTTTAATTTAAATTAATCAAAATTGGATATCCAAAAATCGTTGATTCAGTGATTATTTATATTAAAAAATGAAAAAAGGGACTGAGCAGAATGAGTTGGTCAAAGAAACAGCTGAGCGAAGATAACCGCCCTAGCGAAGGAAGGGATCACGCACGGATAGTCATCAGGGGCCGATTACAGGGGTCTCATTGAATTTCATCTCCTTCACTCCCATTGGACAATTTATTATTTCTCCCGCGCAATTTCACGCCCGCCCTCAGATCATCGGGGTCGTATCGAAAGCTTAATTTCAAACAACCTTATTCCATAGAGTATAAAAATTCGGTACTATTATGAGTTAAAATTGAATTTTAAAATAGTTTCATCGTTTCTACAAAAAATTACAAATTCAAAGAACAAATCAGTCACTATAATATATTTCAAGCATTCCACATGTTCAGATTTTTTAAATATAACCATTTAACCTTGGAAGATTATATTTATTAGTTGTAATTATACTTATTTTTAATATATAAGAGAAGTCTGGATACGTTTTGTATTTTAATGTGAAATATTCTCCACTGAGTTCAGCCCTAGTGACGCGGTTGAGAGAGAAGTGCAGGGATCTCTTAGAGTCATGCTTTTCTCTCCACAGTTCCCTCATAAGTCTGGCTCGGAGTTCTCTCGAATGAATTTATCGAATGTAAATTTGATCTCTGAACACTATTATAAATGTCCTTTGAGACAGATTGTAATATCTTTCAACAAACAAGTTTAAAAAAAAAAAAAAGAAGAAATAAGTAAATAAATCAATCAAATAATAATAATAACAATTTAATCGAACACCATTATAAATTTGAAATGAATATAATTAATAATTTTAAAATCAAGAGTTAAAGATTTACATCATCTGAATTTTTATAATATGAGATATATCCTAATTTTATATATTTAGTTTTCAAACTGACGAAGTTCTAATTTATATTAATTGTTAATGTAATTAGTTTTTTTAATTTATTGTAATTAAATTAATTTTAATTTTGAAACATATACAAAAATATACAAATTCGTCATTTCCTCAAAATAAATTAACTATAAATTATTGTTATCTGTTTTTCTCTCTTTCGTCAGCCCAATACTCCCACTGAAGTCCTATACTGTATTTTCTCTTTAACTAACAGCTACAAATTTGTTTGTAAGAATCCAGAGGAGGTGCTCTTTTCGGTTTTTCCTTAATTCAGTCTTTTCGGAGTTCCTTAATTCAGGAAAGGAGATTTATTTCCGTTCTAACTCCTTTTCAGTCACCTTCTGATAGTTCAGCCATGACCATTTTGTATATCAATCAATGTCTGTGATGTTTACTATGGAAACGGGAATAAACGTTTTTCTTTATATTTCAATCTAATAAAAGTATTTATGAACGTTATGAAGTATAATTATACTCTATTGCGATTGAGATTATACATTATTTTAAGGAAATAAATTTATTCTTGTAGAGTGCTTGCTCTATTTTATATCCTTGTGCATATTTTCATTAATATTTCACCTCAAAGTCGTGGTGTCCACAAAGGGAAGACCATATAGGGGAGCTCAAGTAACATTGATAATATTATCTTTACACGCATAATTAATCATATTTGGAAACGATCTCAGATTTGAATCTTCTTCAAGTTTCTGATTTTCCAAGAAACCTCTCTGTTCACCTCACTTTGATTCTAATCCTCAACCATAACTCCTAGGATCCTCCAGCCCCCAGATAAAGATATTAAGGATCGTCCCGGAAGATGCCTCACCCCCCCCCCTCCTTTCCTCGACATAAGAGGTGGATTAGCTATTCAGAAAAGGGAAGAGCCCTTATTCAATGGGCAGCGATAAGTTATAGCGGCTGTTTCAATGACCGGCTACTTGGCTATGCCGCTGGCGTTCGGTCCACCCGCCTCTCGCCGCTTTACACTTTTATCAATAACTGCCGCCTCGCCTCCCTTCCTCCTCCTCTTCTCTGCTCTATCACACGCATGTATCTTCTTGAGAAGTACACAGAAACGTCGTTACTGTCTCCTTTTAGAGTTGTGAAAGAGTGGCCTTTAAACCGCAGAGAGCTTAACATCTTAAGACTCCGCATCACTCATATGTTTTATGAAATGCAGTATTGAAGTTTCCAAATAGCATAGAAAAAATATTATGAATCGCAAAGACGTGATGACTGAAGGCAGTTTCCATCCATTTCTTAATAAAAGACGCTTTTAATATTGAGGGGTCAGTGTACTCCCGAAAATATAAGGTACTATAAAAATCAACACAATAAAAAAAAATTAACTGTACCGCTTGATAACGTCCATTGCTAACAAAGCGACAGGAAGAGTAAGTCATATTAAAGACGAAAAAGAACATAAAACAAGTAGGACTTTGAAAAGGGTAACAAAATGGAAGGAGGATTTTTCTATATTTTTTTCTTGGAATTAGTGTGATAACAAGAATATCAACAGCATGTATCTTCTCAATGTCAAATTGCCAAGTACTAATAAAAAATAGAATTATTACACTAAACCTGAAAATTACCGATGAAATAGAATTTTTAAGCACAATTCCCGAATTTAAGGATACTGGACGTTCTGAAATAGCAACTAACGCATTATTTTTTTTAATATAAAGATAACATTAACATGATTTTGAAAATTTATAATTAAACATTTATATTATGAATTCAACATTACATAATTATTATATGTCTAATAATAATAATAATACTTTTACCCATTTTTTTTTTTACGAATTTAAATGTTATAGATTTTAAAGTTGCAAATCACTTTGATTGAACGTTATTTCGACATAATTATTTGGTCAAAATTAATTCTAAAATAAAAGAAAATACGGAGTATTTATTTTAAGTACATTAACAGAAAATCGTTCTACAAATGTACGGAAAAATCCACAACTATTGGCTGAGTATAAATCCAATTTGTTACAATATTCAATATAATGTATATTTCAATTTTATTACTTTTATTAAATTAATTCAAATATCACACATATTCATAATATAATTGCCACAGGAGACTTCTAAGCTGTCTTGAGTTATATTGACCGCAGTTAAACTGGGTCAGGCGGCTGGAAAATATGACCGGGCCACAACTCACACTAGGGTGACCACATCTTTGAGGTTTGGCGGTCCAAAGAAGAGGCGGTCATCAGAAGAAAGGAGGACCGCCCGGAAGGGAGTGGGGGGAAGGGAAGGAAATGGGTAGGAAGCGGAAGTCCCCGTGGGGGGTAATCCGCCCCAATCCATTACCCCCGGCAGCCTTATGCATATCTTCATATTTAGGGCTACTTCGGGGAGTGCTTTTTAGTAGATATCCACTCAAGAAACGTCTGGACGTCTCCGGGCATCTCCTCCCTTGAGGAGTAGGCCATGGCGGAACGGATATGAGGCATTGCGAGCGCTACAATTTCGGACAGAGAGGATCTATAGACGTATACTTCTAAAGTTATACACGATATATATTCGGTTTAATATTTAATAATTTATGCGAAAATTAATTCGTTCAATAATTTACAATTAAGTTCTAATAAACTCGAAATAAAGACCAAGTAAACTAAATATAAGTATACGACTTAAACTCTTAAATTCTTGATGTTAAAATTTTTAAAAATTAGCAAAAGTCTCATTATCTTCAATAATAAAATTAAACATATAATTATAAGCTGTTTAATTATTAAATCACTTAGATATTAACTTTCTGTGGACTTTTTGTACTAATGACATTTAGTATCAGAACAAAATAATTGCTGAATGTGATTAAGTTTAAGGTTAGTGGATAATATTTAATGAACATAAGCTAGAAGGACTAAGGTCTCTTAATTGAAATTTTCTTAGGATATTATAATCAATTAAATTTTATATATTGATGTTTTGTAAGAACTAATGAACATCAAACGTTCAGAAGTGTATGCAACTATGCCATTGTATAAATAACAATTTTTGAGTTCTTGTAATATGTTACTCCTATATGCATAAAGACTGAAAGGGAAAACAAAAATAACGACTATTCAGAAAAACAAAATTCCTTTTTTTCCGTTCTCGAAACCACAAGATTGTGATTGAAGACCACGTCTTGCTTTTAATAATAAATTGCGTTTTTCAAATCATTTTATATACTGGAAAAAAATATATAAATAGATCATAGCCTACGGTTAAATAAGCTCGTAAATCCTCATATTTAACTTTTAGATTTAGATGAACATTAAAATATTATAAAAATTAAATGTATATAAAAAGGTTTAGCTTGGGTCATCAGCTTAGTTTGAAATAATTATTTTTTACATTTTTTTTTCAGGACCATATGTCCCCGGCATGTTTTGTTTTTTATGGTATATATATTTT